TCACTTTTCTATGCTGAGGGCCCAGATCTGGGGGCAGCTCTGCGGGTGGGGTCTCACCTGAGTGGGGCAGAGGGGTGGATTTGCCCCCTTGCCCTGCTGCCCGTGCTTGGTGCTGATCACCTCTTGCTGTGAGCTCCCTGTTGGGGGAGCTTGGCTGCACTGGGTTGTGTCCCCCTGAAATTGGGTTTTGGGCTGCTCCTGTTCCATCCTTGGATACCCCTCTGGGCTGAACTGGAGCATGGTTCAGGAGAGTATCCCTGGCATCTTGTGCTGACACACCACTAACATCCACATAGCTGTGAGGCTTCAGCAAACTCTGCCAGGGCCCAATCCCTCTTCTGCTCCCAATACCAACCCTTGTCCTTAGAAAGCCACCAGCACCTTTCACCCCCCTCCTCCAGGCTCCCTTTTTCTCACGCACAGAGCCCTGCTGCTTCCTTGTTTGCTGCATCAGGGACTGGTGGGAGCTCCCCGCAGTGACAGCCACCCCCAGTGACCCAGGGGCTGCAGTGCACAGTGACCTCATGGCAGCTGCTGTGCCCGAGCCTGCCCTCCCACTGCCACCCTGGGCAGGCACCACAGCCAGCCTGGGGCACCCGGAGCCTGGGAGGGCACTGCCCCAGCACAGCCCTGCTGGCACAGGAGCTGCTCCCAGCTGTTCCCAGCTGTTCCTGGGGCCCTGGGATGGCCACCCTGGCCCTCACCAGCCACATGTTGGGATCATGGACTCCTCTGGGTTGGAAGGGACCTCAAAGATCATTTATCTCATCCCACCCCGCCATGGCAGGGACACCTCCTGCTGTCCCAGTTTGCTCCAGCCAGCCCTGCCCAGCCTGGCCTTGGGCACTGCCAGGGATCCAGGGGCAGCCACAGCTGCTCTGGGCACCCTGTGCCACGGCCTGGCCACCCTCACAGGGAACAATTCCTTCCCTATGTCTGTCCTGGTGAGCTGTGGGGAGGGTGCCATGCCCTGCCTGTCCAGGTGCCCGCTGGGCAGGGCTGTCCCAGCCCCTGGCTCTGCTGTCAGGGGCACAGCAGCCCTGGCTGTCAGGGACTGGTTCTCAGCTGGACAACTGGAGGGGCTACGCCCTTCTACAAAATGCACTTAAAATCAAGGAATTGCAGCAATTATTAACACTTTTTACTAGGCCAAGATCTGCAGTGTTGCAAACATTAACATTCAGAATATCCATAAACCACGTTGTAAAGTACCCAGTGGATTTGCTTGTTTGATGCTGGAGGAAGGGAAAAAACGAAGATGCCTTAGCTCATCCATTCTCATGTACTTTTTTTAAAAAAGAAAACCACCTCTATTGCATTGGTTTCCTGAGACAGAATCACAGTTAGAATCACTAAGGTTGGAAAAAAACATTTAAGATCATCAAATCCAACAATTAACCCAGCACTGCCAAGGCCACCACTAAACAATGTCCCCAAGTGCCACATCCACTTTTAAATTCCTCAAGGGATTGTGACTCCACCACTGCCCTGGGCAGCTGTGCCAGTGCCTGAGCACCCTTTCAGGGAAGAGGTTTTCCTGATATTCATTCCAAACCTCTCCTGGCACAGCTTGGGGCTGTTTCCCCTTGTCCTGTCCCTGTTCCCTGGAGCACAGCCCGACCCCCCCAGCTGTCCCCTCCTGTCAGGAGCTGTGCAGAGCCACAAGGGCCCCCCTGAGCCTCCTTTGCTCCAGGCTGAGCCCCCTCCCAACTCCCTCAGCCCCTCCTGGTGCTCCTGACCCTTCCCAGCTCCGTTCCCTCCTCTGGACCCCCTCCAGCCATGGGAGTTCCAGAACTGACACCAGTTGGATCTGACCAGTCCCACCCAGCTCATCCTTCCACAGAACCTCAGCCTCTTCTCTGGAGAGGGTGATGGAGTTTGCTGGTGTGTGGGTTTATGGCACTGCAGACCTGATGTCCACATCACCTCCCCGATGGTCACAGAGACCTGAACTGCTGGGGCAGGCAGAGCACCTGTCCTCTGCTTGCAGGCTGCAGGACAGTAATTAGCAACAAGACCCATTTGTGGCTGGGATAAATTTAGTTTGGCTGCACTGAGACTCTTCAGGCAGAGAAGGTGGGATCTCCTCCCACACCTCCCTGCAGGATGGGGCTTTGCCATGGGCGAGCTGGTGTTGGCTGGTTGGCCCCTGAGGGCAGGACACCTGCAGGTGTTGTTTTCAGCTATCAGCTGCTCCAGGGCAAAGTTTAGCTGTAGATAAATCAAGACCATTTCACCGAGTCCAGATGACTCATAACCACAGGGCAGGAAACTCTTTTATCTTTGGGGCAGCTGGTTTAATATACATAGATGTTCACTCCTGAGCACTGAATAATTTCCATCTCTTTACTTCTCATTAAAAGCAAATCAGAGGAGGGAAAACAGTGAGAAATTTCTCTGTCTCTGTTTCTGCCATCTCTGAGAGAGCTTCCTCCCAGCTGTGCAGTCTGCCTGCACTGGGTCATTTGCTGTGTATTTTAATTGGCAGAACAAATGACTTTCTCTCCAAAGCACCACTCCATTTTAAAGCCTGATTCTGCAGGCACGATTGGAGAAGGGCTCTGTTACAAGCTCCAGCTTCCATGGAGGGAAGAGCATTCTGTGTGGGAGAGCATTGTTGCCTCCTTTGAGGGAGTGGAATTTACAGGGACTGTTGATGAGCCTGCTGAAAGAGGCACCTTCACCTCTGAGCAGCAGCTGGAGGTGGAGAGGAGAGACAAGAACCTGGGCAGCAGTCAGCTCTTAAACACAAGAGAAAGGGCAAGGTTTTGCTGGAGAACCTCTTGAGTCAGTTCTTTTTCCTAAATATGCCAGGCAGGTTTTGCATCTCAGGCTTCTCCTGAGAGTCAGGACCTGCCTCCCTGTCTCTTCCTGCCAGAACATCTCTGCCTGCTCAGGTGCAGGTGGCTTTTCTCTCATGTCTGTGCAGCAGTGACAGCAGAGCTGTGCTGCTGCTGCAGCCCTGTGCCCTGTGTGTGCTGTGTGTGCTGTGTGTGCTGTGTGTGCTGTGTGTGTGAGCCCTTGGCATGAGGAGCCCTCAGGAGAGGCCGTGCCAGGAGCTGCTCCCTGTCCATGATCACACATGGTGTGCACAGGCTGAGGACACCATGTCAGAGCCAGGCAGGCCCAGAGACCGTAGGACTGGTTTTCCACCCTTTCTTGCATTGTGCAGGTGTCTCCCACCATGGTGACACAGTCCTGGGTGCTGCTCCCTCCCTTCCCACCACAACAAGTAGGACTCTGCTGCTCAAAACTCACCCACTCTAGTGTGGGTGCTCAGGGGTACTTTGCCACCTGAAGTGACAAAACACTTGTCTGCTTTTGCAAATGGGCCTTTGGTTGGTGTGGCTGGTGCTCGGTGCCTGACCCATGAAGCCCTGTGCTCAGATAATGTCCATTTCTGGAGCAACCCGGGGCAGCAACTTGACACTGTGGCTTGGGCCACGCTGGAGCCCTCTAAATCCACAGGCTGAAGCTGATGAGATGAATGATTGCCAGGAGCCAACCTTAGCAGCATTTTCCACTCTTAAATATCACAGTAATAAAAGGTAAAATCATTAAAGTCCTTCTGCAGCCCCCTGTGCCTCATCTGAAATGAGGACGACGAAGGGCGCAGAGCGAGGGGTTATTAATATCCTGTCTCACGATGATGGCTTTATAAACATCCTTACCCCAGGCACAGCCTCGCTGGGCTGCTCTGCCATGACCTTCAGCCAAATGCCATGCTTTTATCACACTTGATATTTAACCAATAAAGCAAGGGGAGGAAGACTTTGCCCCTAAATATCTGACCTTATACACAGGGGGATGGGGCCAAAACTGAGAGAAACTGTGTTAAGTGTAGCCATGCTAAATGCTCCTCAGACCTGATGCTCCTCTCTGGGAGCTGTGCCAGAGCTCCAGCAAGAAGGGGATCAGATGTTTGACGCAGTGGAAACCCTCCATGCCGCAGGGGATGACTCATGGGCAAGAGCCCCACACAGCAGCAGGGCCACACTCATGCAAAGCTGGGGATTTTGACTGGTGGGAAGAGGTCTTGATGGAGACAGGAGAGTTCTGATGGCAGGGAAAGGAACAGCTCCCACTCTGGAGAGCCCCAGAAAAGACACCAGCTTTCCTTGTGACTGGTAGATCTTGAAAGTAAGAATCAAAATCATGTCCCAGTGGCAGGGCATTGGAACTAGATGGTCTTCAAGCTCCCTTCCAACCCAAACCAGCCTGTGATTCTATAATCAGAGAGGAGAAAAGGTTTTGTAGGTTAATGGATGGAAAAGGTAAGGAGCAGCTCTGAAGCCAGGATCTCTTGGTGAGCGGAAGACTGGGGTCACTGGTCCCCATCAGGACCTGGCATTGTCTGGATGCCCTTAGAAATGGGGCTTAATGTTCCCTGCTCCCACTTCACTTCCAGAGAGTGCCCTTGCTGGAATAACAACTCTGAGAAAAGTCATGTACCACAAAGAGCAGAGGGATGGTGCTCAGTGCAGGGTTCCTGCAGAAGGGTGGGTGCAGAGATGGTACACAAGACTGTCCCAGGCCAGTGGTGATGGACAGCAATCACCCAGCACGGGTCTGGGGCTGCCAGGCCCTGCAGCCTCCACTGCTGAGGGGGCTGGCATCTCTGTAGGAGCTGGATGGTGGAGACTGGGTGTTTGCAGAGATTGCCCTGCTGGGATGGATCCAGACCAGTTGTAGAGCTGAGCAGCCTGAGGTTGTTTTGGGCATCCCAGCTTGTGTCTGGAAGCAAATGTCCTACCTGCAGGGACCATATGAGCCCCTTGGCACCCCTGCAGGGCCAGCAGCTAGGAACAGATCTGCCTCAGCTGAAAACAGATGGGTGAGGGCATTGCTGGCACTGGCATTCACGTTGGAGCTGCTCACGTTGGCACTGCCTGGGAATGCTCTGGCTCTCCGATTGCTGTCTTGGTCCTGACAGTACAGATGTGCCTCTGCCTTTCTGGCACATCCTCCATGCCTCATTTCCCTCCTGGCTTTTCTCCCAGGTCATCCTCCCCTAAAATGACCCAGCAGATGCGGGACCTGCAGCTGGCGCAGGCCAGGAAGCCACCAGGCCCTTCCTCACCAAACGCGGCCAAGAGGCTCTACCGAAACCTGTCCGGGAAATTCCGCGTCAACTACACCTCCTTCGACGAGGGCAGCCTGGTGGGACGGGGCGAGAAGGAGAAGCTCCGCAAGTCCTACCTGGTCAGTGCCTGATAGCTCCATCCAGGGGGGA